TAGAGATATAAGCTATCCGTTAAGTCTAATCAAGCTTGATTACCGATTAATTACACAATTGTGCTAACCTCTCAATTCCTCATTTCCTTGTAATACATGGGGAAGTAACAGGACAACGTAGAAGATAGTCGTGATCAACAGATTGCCTTAGATGATGCTCAATAATGCAATATGCATTCGGCTCACATTCCCAGAAAAGGTCATCCTAGACAAAGCATTCACTGAAAGCCAATACCTAAAGGAGATCAAAACATCATCCAGTAAACCTTGGATAGTTGGGTTGAGAATACATATACGGCCAAACGGCGAAAATCTTTAGTATGCCTCACATTTGTATGAACATATTAATGAGTCTCCTCCAAGTGCACCAATAGAAATCATATTTTGCTCCTGGAAAACTAATAAATTAGATAACTTTCCTCCACCGCTATTCAGGAGTAAGATAAGAATATTCATAACAGCTAGATTGCAGGAAACACATTCTAAGTCGTGATTATTAATTTATTAGCAATTCCAGAGCAATGGATTAAAGTAAGCACATCAACAGCTAACTACAAGTTCACAACACACGAACCAAAATTGAGATTTACCAAGGACCCCAGTGGACGGGAGGTGTGGAGAGGTCGGCGGCGCGGCGGGAGGCAATCTCCGATTGGAGGCGCTCGGTGTCGGACATGACGACCAAGCTCCATGTACACGTCCAGGTGACAGAAGCTCACCGGCTTTTTAGGGGGTGACGACCAAGACGTCGGGGCCGGAAGTGTATGAGGCTTGTAATTGGCGCGGTAGTGGCGGAATGGGCGGCGGACGGCGGTGGGAGACTGCGAGTTTCGTGGTCGGAACGAAGGAGTACCGGAGTAGTGTGAAAACTGAAAAGTGTGGAATTTTTTTAAGCTTGGGCCCAAAGGATCAGTCTTGAGTTTAATAAGATTAAGCCCGCTAAGAACAGAACATGGGCTTTTTAGTTATATTCAAGTCCAGAAAAATGATATTTTAGCCCAAGAGCAAAAGATAAAGTAGTAAGGAAAATTTACACACATCTACGTGATTTACACATAATTACAAACTTCTAATTAAGGATAAAATATTTACAACCCTACAAAATCAATGTGTATTATTTGTCTTAATGTGAGATTAGGTGTTACCAGATAAAACGGATTCAGTTCCATTTTTTTAAGTAACTCCTATTCATACAAAATAATAAATAAATAAAAAACCCAAAAATTTTCAAAATTTGATAACTTTTTTGTTTGTTATCAATTTTTATATATAATATATCGAATTAATCGTCTTTCGAAGAGGTTTAATTTGACATCTATATTGTATATACAAAAATATAATAATTTTATTTTTTTTTATAAATTATCCATTAATACTAATTAAAAATTAATAAGATTATTTATATTGTGGTTGCATATTCGATAAGAAAATAAAAAACAGAAAACTTTATATATATACTTATATGTTATATAAATTGTTATAAATTATAAACCAAGCATAAAACTGAATTATTACATGTTATGTACAAAAAAACGCAATATATACTAAAAATATACTAACTATAACCACAACATATACGAAAAAATATTTCGGTGTCCGTCTTGTACAAAAAAATGCAATATATATGTACTAAAAATATACTAACTATAACCACAATAGACAATTGTGATGAACATGTGAAACATAGACCTTGTATTAACATGTTTTATAAACTAAACATATATGTGATTCTATCTACAAAAACATATACTAAAAATATACTGTCTATATACACAACATATACTGCCACACTAATAAAATACAACACAACAAATCAACCTAGCAAAAAAAAAAAAAAAGCCTAACACCAAAATCAAACAACACTAAGCCACAAAGAGGAAGACCACTGACAAGCAAAGATCCTTATAACACCGAGAGTTAGTGGGTCGCCTGCTATGGGAGGTAATTTCGTTTTTGCCATGAAAATAGAACCTAGGGTTTACAGATAGTGGAGTTGTGTATTTTGGGCGGGTGAGAGAGATGAGCGAGTATTGATTATGTACGAGAATGTGGAGGTAGTTTTGATTTCATTTGATAAGTTATCCCTCAAAATCTGCTTAATTGAATAAAATATATTTTTACTTATAAGCTTAATGTTCGTATAACTGCAATAAAAATGACCGGAATTTGTAATATATGTATGTAATGTCAATTTAATAGGTAGTAACACATAAAAACCACCTTTAATGTACTGAACACGCAAAGGCAAAGCCCATTTCATGTTTTACAGTAAATGTCAGTCAATTTGATCGATGCAAACTTTCACTCAAATGCTACAAAATATTCCACAACCATGCACGGTAAAATCCCATTCATTTCACATATGCCCTTTTCGTCTTTTGTAGTAAATGCCGTCAATTATGATCGATGCAAACTTTCACTCATATACTACACTATTATAGAACCTTCAACAACCATGCACGGTAAAATCCTAATTTATTTCAAGTCTCATGTTGTATAGCGATTTGAAAAGAAGAAAAAATGAAAAAAAAAAAAGTAAATATTTTAAAAAATACTATGAATCGATCTGTCCTACTGGCTATTTTTTTTCCCGGTTTAACCTGTCATTGATTGGTTCTCGAACGGTTCACTGACGACCTTCTCTTTAAATTGAAACCGGAAAAAACAGGTCAACAAACCAGCTCCCGACCCGATTTTGGAGTAACTCTTATTGCATTATTTTTATTGGTATATTATTTCCACCACGCACCATGACATTAATTAGTGACCAAATCTATTAATATATAAAGAGGCAACTTAAATAATTCTAAAATAGTAACTCAAAAATCATCTAAAATCCCGCCTAAATGTATTACTAAATATAGCAAACAAATTTCAAAAAATTTGGAAATCCCGCCTAAATGCATTTTGAAATTTTGTTAAGTGCAATATGAACACAATGATTCCATAATTTGTGGAGCTAAATTTTTAAACTTAGTATATAGCCATGAATTTCGCCAATATTTGACCCAAAATCGTATCAATAAAAATCAAGCATAATTACATATATTTTGAATGCACATTGAATCACATATACTACAATTAAATAAGATGCTTCTTATACAAATAGAAAATGTAAAACTTAAAACTTGATCTTCATTCATAAAAACCGAAGTATACAAAAACCAAAAACAAATATGACTAAATTGCTAGACAATTACGAATAAATATTTTCATATTTAAAAATCACGAAATAAGTTATAATTTTGACCATTATTTTAAAATAAAAAAATATGTTGTTAAATATTTATTGACCTTATACACAACGAACAATTTTTTTATTGCTAATATATAAAAAATAATTAATTTTCTAAAGAAGTGAACAGAACATCAAATGTTTTTAATACTAAAAGTAGAGAATATTTATCGTTTAATCTATCTATTAATATATAAAGATATAATGATATTTACTTGAAATAACAACTAAAAATCAGAAAAAAAAAACATTTGATTTCCCGCCTAAAGTATTTACTATATTGGGTAATAGTTTTTGCCAAAATTTGAAATATTCTGCCTAAATTAATTTAATTAATGTACAAAATCACTTTGGTCAAACATTTATTAGTTGCATGATTTTAATTTGGAACATAATATATTGATAAAACTTGCAGCTATTACCTTTATTAGTTGCATGATTTAAATTTGGAATACAATATATTGAAATAAAATAAAAAGATTTTTATTTAAAATTACAAATAAAAAAAATATTCATAATTTACGGGTGGGTCAATATTAGCTTGGACGTAAACGAAATAGACAATTATTTATAGTTCAATAAATTGCTCAATAACATTCGAGTCAATATTAACTTGAACGTAAACGAAATAGTCAATTATTTATATTTAAATTTATTACTCAACTACTTAATATTTTTTGTTTGAATAGTTTATACAAAAATGGGTTATTTTAAGTAATGAAATGATATAAATTATATATATATATATACTTATTATTCACATTGGTTGTTAAATATATGACAACATTTTATCAAAAGAACTATTTTATGGAATTACAATATAGTCAAATCGAATTTTTGAATAAAAATTTGAAATGGTACTTATTTTGAAACGAATATAATGTGATTTATTATCAGTTTGTGCACCACACGGGGTTGTGTACTAATTTTAAATAGACATTTTTATGTAATTGTACAATTTTAAACTATATATATCATATTCACTAAATTAGAATAGATAATTATATTACATATTGGTTCCATATTTTCATTTTATAAATATTACTTAATAAGAATTTTTCATTTATGAATATTAGTGAATATCGCTTACCCGTGCAGTGCAAGGGACTCATACTAGTAAAACGAAAACTCCCAAATATCATAGATTAATTTGCATATAAATATTTTTTTTTGTTTTTTTTTAAGAAAGAGACGAGTACAGATTTTTTTTATTTATTTTTTTTTTTTCTGGTGCAAACAGATTTTGTCTTATTAGTTAGCCCCATTAACAGAGTATAACTTAGCATGCCCTTTACTCCACACAGATAAAAGCAAACCCTCCAATTTTGTGAAAGAATTTATTACACACATGCAAATCAAATCTTTTATCATAAGAACAAATCAAATAAAACTTATCACCCTTTTGTACCAACTCTGTTCGTATATTTAATATCCCACCTTCAAAGAAGAAAAAACAAAATAAAGATATCATTTTAAAGCTGTTTTATGCTGAACACAAAATACATTCTTGCAATTATAAATGTCACTCTATTACAGTGCTGCATTTGCATGTTTTTTGTTGGGTTGGGTTTATATTTTTTTTCTGGTACATGGACCTTCCGGTTTCCGGATCCACAGGGAAACCGATTAATCCAGAATCGAGCCGGGTAGGACGACAAGGGTGGTTGGGTTTATATTTAACTAAGTGGATATCTGAGCAGCAAATAAAGAAACAGTAATTCTTGATAAATAAAGTCAAGAGTAGTCCATATTTTTCTGGCCAGCCATGGCTGCTGAAGCACCAAAAGCCGAACGCCATATCTTCTTCAAGGTTATCTTCAGCGAGGACTTCTCCACCCGACTCGTGAGCCCTCATTCTCTTCCCTTCATTTTTTTTTTTTTTTTATTTTTTTATTTACCTTCAAAAATCATAGTTTTTCAATTATTTAATTATATGCAAATGCCAATATTCAGAGGCTCCCTCCAAATTTCACGCAAAACCGAGCCCGGTCCCTAACTGGGAAGGCCCGACTGAAAATCTCCGGCGGGCACACTTGGGACGTAGAGCTGGAGAAAATGGATGACGGGACCATTTGGTTCTGCAAGGCCGGGTGGGCCCAATTTGTCGAGGATGCCAAACTTGAATTGTTCGATTTCCTCAGATTCAAATGGTACGCCGGAACAAAAACGTTCAAGGTCGACGGCTGTGGAAGAGACGGCTGCCAGAAAGAGATTTTCAGCCGTGTGGCGGGCGCTGACGTGGCGCCAGTGGTGATGAAAAGCTTCACAACGGAGTTGAAGAAGCACCACTACTACTACATGGTGAGTACAAACGTGCATGCGTTAAACTATATATATATATATTTTTTTTTGAGATTTTTATATATTTTAGTGTTGATATATATATTCTCGTTTTTATTTTGAAGACGATTCCGAAAGCCTTCGCCTCGGAGACGGGAATCGAGAAAGGGAAGATCGTGAAGTTGGAGAACGAGCGAGGGGTCAGGTGGCGGGTGAAGGTTTACGAGAGGGAGGAACGGTACAAGAGGATTTGCTTCATGGATGGAGCTTGGAAATCGTTTTGGAAGAGGAACGAGTTGTTCGTAGGGGCAAAAGTGACATTTACGTACGATGCGAGTTCCGGAATTTTCTACGTGAAGAAGGGAAATTGAAGGCTCCCCTCCAAAGTTATTATCATAATAACTATTGTGTGCTAAACTTGTTTGAATATCTGATTTTGGCTTTTGTGTAATAGATTGGTTATCTTGACATCTCCTATCCTTTGTCCCTCATTGATCATTAATGTATTGTACAATGTGTGGAACTGTGGTCTGTGGAACAAAATTAGGACAGAAGACTCACTTGGATCCGTTATTAATGATTTGGGCCATTGGGCTCTTCTTTTTTTCAAATAGCCCATAGACACAAGGTTTGGGGCTATGCTCACTTTGAACCTATTAGTAATGATTTGGGCAATTGGGCCCTCCTGTCTTATGAGTAGCCCACACACACGTTTTTGCGGCTATTAAGTAGTATTATTGATGCTCTATTGTGTAGGAATTAAAATTGTAAATTTGTAATAATTAAAAAAAATAGTAATCGAAGGTTTGATAAGATGTTTGCGTTATGTCAGAAATGACAGTATTAATCTCAATCAACAAGACTTATCAATGAGTTAATTAATACTACTTAATAGCCGCAGCCAATAAGCCTCTTTCTGAAGAAAAAGACAAACAAACAAATTAATTGATAAACAATTAAAAAAAAATCAATAAAAGTCCTTACTGTCAAGTAATTTTTTTACTGTTTCAGTTCAAAGTTTGCATTGAAAAAAAAACACACAAAAAAAAAAAAAA